TTATTATTATTATTGTTATTATTATTATTATTATTATTATTATTATTATTATTTTAATATTGTGTGAAATTATTGATAATCAGATATATGTTTAAGGAGGAACTGAAGAAACGTTTATCGCTATCACCAACATCGATATCAAGTAAAGCTCAGCAAACCCTAACCAATACAGTTGATCCGTTGTCTCCATCGAGTACAGGTATTATTATTGTTGTTGTTTTTATTATTCTCTTTATGTTATTATTATTATTAATGATAATTGTTATTATATGTAATCATATTATTTATAACTGTAATTATATAACTACTTGCGAGTTTAGATTGTTCGGATTGTACACTAGCCTCATCATGTTCATTACCGATCATCTCACAGCTGTCTTCAACACCTCCGTCGACGATCGGTATCTCACCGACACGTTTTGAACGTAGTGAAGTTTCTAAACAATACAGGTAGCTAGTGTTATTTATTTATTATTATTTATTATTGTGATTATTTATTATTATTGTTATTATTATTATTTCATTATTATAATAATTATTTTCAGTAATGAAGATCCATCAATATGCTCAATCGAAGTGAGACTGCGTGCACCAACAGCAGCAACTCTATCGAAACAGCAACAGGCGAATGCGGTGGCGGCCGCATATCACCTGAAAGAAGCTCAAGCTCAAGCCGAGGCTCTGGCCGAAGCACATCGTGGTATGGTCATGGACGGCGGCGGCGGCTCATCGGGTGGCTCAGGCTCGGATGATTGCAATTTGATGATGATCGGCAGCAGAGATAATAGTCACTGCTATAATCATTTGAATACGAATACGAATGCAAATGCAAATGCACTATATGAGGCAAAACTGAAACAACAACAGTACGCAATGAAAAATGGCAATATTCTGTCGTCATTGGATGAGAGCATCGAATGGAGAGAAGTGAGTAGTAAACTTTTTTTGTTATTTTATTATTATTTATTATTATTATTATTGTTTATAGTCAGTGTTAAGGTGTGTTATTATTAATTTATTATTATTAATATTATTGTTGTTATTATTATAATTATGGCTGTTTTGCTTGATTGGTTATGTTGAGTTGCGCTAGGCTTGTTCTCTTGTTGCTTTCCTCATTCATGTATAACTAATAGATAGAGGAATTAGCATCTAATAAATTCAATCGCTAATGATAATAATATTAATGATAGTAATAATAATAACAGTAACAATAAATGATAACCATATCAATAGTAATAATAATAACAGAGGCTGCTGCAGTAAAATGCAAATAATTTGAAAGGCATGCAATAGTTATTGAAGAAGTAGAATGCTGTTTGAATTTGAGCAGAGCAGAGCAGAGAACATAATAATAAGTAATAATAATAAGTAGCTATAGTGCACTAAATATGATGCTGTAATCGCAGATCAACGAGATAATGGAATCATTTGGCGGAGGAATCTGTCGAGAATCGGTGTTCACGGATCAGTACGAGCCGAGAGTAGCTGTTTATCTGCGTGATCGTCGTTCAAAAGCACTCACCTTACAGCTCAACAACGGTACAGCAACAGCAGCAGCAGTAGCAGCGTCGTCACCACCCGTAAATGGCAACACACCTTGTGCATGTTATTCGAGGACGACTGCTACCGATGGAGATGGCGATGGCGATGGCGTTGCCACTGCTACTGATAGCATTGATTCGAAGCATTTTCTAGCCCTAGCCACCGCCGCCGCCGCCCAAACAGGAGACGGCCCCGGCGACGGCTCTGCTGAGCCTGTTGCTGTGCCTCCAGCTAGTAGACGAGTATCTAGGCAGTATGCAGCAGCAGCAGTAGCACCACCAAACGCACACGTTCAACTGCTCGGCACCCAAACAGCAGCAGCAGCAGCACTTCAATTAGAGTCGCATAGCAGTAGCAGCCGATCGCTGCCCTCCGATGGTTGTGTACACGGTACCTGTTCGTGTGCTGCTGCTGATGACCATCTGTTATCGTCCTCGTTGGTATCGTTGTCCCCACGCCATCATAATACTACTACTAATCGATGTTATCGTTGTGGTCACGATCACCAACAGCATTTCTATAGTAATAATAATAATACTGTCGCTGAAACGGCGGCTACTACTAATGCCTCAGAGGAAATGATTTTAATTTCGTCATTAAGCGCTGCCTCTAAACGTTGCTCTCCCACTATTACTACTACTAATGATGGTGTTGGTGCGGTACAGCCACAGTCATCAGTTTCAACATTGAATAGTTCAAATGCTCGTCTAACTATTATTAAATCATCAACAATTACCGCGTCTAATAATAATAATAATAATAATAATAAGAGTAATAATAATCCTCATAAAAGCATTAATAATACATCGTTATTACTGTCGTCATCCTATCCGAGCGGCACTGTAACAAGCTCAGCAATAGCTTTGCAGCCTCGTGCTTCGTATAGGTCGTGTTGTGATTCAACTCATCGATATCATCACAACACTCATGCTCATGCTCATGTTCAAGCTGCTAATACGGCTTCTGCAGCGTGTGTTCATCAAACGAATGTTGTTGTTGCGGCTGCGGCTGCTAATGCTAATGCTTCTTCGTTGAATTGTACTTCTTGTTGTATGAGGCCACTAGCCGAATCCATCAAAACCATTGCCGTTCCTCTAGTAGCTAGCGTGTCGACTAGTGCTGCTGCTGGTGGTGGTGGTTATCATAAGAATAATTATAATGGAAATCATCAAGTGACGACTAGTGCTAGTAGCAATAGACGACAATCATCAAAATATCATCATCATCGTCATTATTCGGTATAATCTTGTTTCGATAGCTTGTTACTGTTATTATTATTATTATTATTATTATTATTATTGTTTATTGTTGTGGTTATATTTTCGTTGCTATTGAATTGCAGCCGAATAGGAGTCGCAGTAGTAGCAGTACGACGACGACGACGTCGGCAGTGGCGAATTGGTTGAACGTTAGCGTTGGAGTGCCGAATCCACGAGCTAAAGAGATCGCTACAGTGTTGGAGAGTCACGGTTTTGACAGTGTCAAGCATATGGTATGTTTTATTGATTTTCTGCCTGAACGAGGAGGAATATACTGCGTTGAACTGAACGCGAATACAAATTGCGATCGATCGATCGATCGATCGATCGGTCACTTAAGAGATTCGCGGCCGCATTAAGACAGCAGCAAATCAATCAATCAATAATGATCACATAATTGTTGTCGTGTATATTCGTATGACTAATTAGCAGTCAACGTTGGATCGAGCCGCAATGCATGAAATCGGCTTGGACAAGTCCACACAGCATCAGATCGGCACCTATTTAGACAACTATCCAGGACAGACACCACTTAGTGCAAGTAAGTTTTTTTTTTTTAAACTTCATTTACGGTTAGTTGGTTGTTCATTGCCTGGCGAGTAAGACGGCGGGCGGGCGGGCGTAATAGTGATAATTTTATCACTAATTAGTGATAATGATATCACTAATTAGTGATAAAGAACTATGATAGTAGTAGTAGTAGTAGTGTGAATTTATTGCTGGCTGATCACAGTCATGATCACCACTTAAAATATCAATTTTGAGTAGTCGATTCAGTGAATTGATATTGTGAAAAGAATTGATATGGTTCAGTCGATGATCTATCAATCGATCTATCGATCAGAAAGCAATGAGATGATTTCGTACGATCAGATAGCAGGCAGCAGATCGATCTATTGAGCAGACAAATGATATATTCATAGAAGTGGCGAGAGTAGTGCTTGGAAACGATGTTATAAAATAGAAACGATGTGTGCAAAGCAAATTCAAAATGAGTTTATGGATTTTGAATGAAATGTAATATAATATAGCAATATAATTCAGACTCGTTCACGTACGTATCGGACTGGTTGAATTCACTGGAATTAGAAGATTATTTGGGACATTTTATCAACGGTGGTCTGACATCGATGCTGATCGTGCTGGCACTGGATCCATCTGCAAAACATTTGAAGGTTCATTGCTTGCTTTGTGCAGTTGTTTGTTCATTTAATGTAGCTCTACTAGGTGTATTTTGTTATTTTATTATTATTATTATTATTATTATTATTATTACTATTTCAGTCACTTGGAATCACTCTACTGGGCCATCAGAAACGTATTTTGGAGTCATTAAAAGAGGCAAAATTGGAGCGTCGTCTACGTGTTGCAGAACGAATCAATGCCGAAACTGCAGCAGTAGCAGCAGCAGAACTAGAGGCAGAGGGAACTGATAGTGGACAGGAGAGCAGGTTATTGATTATTACTTTGTGTTATTGTTACTTTGTAATTACTGTCTTATTATTTACTATTATGTATTATTATTGTAAATAATTGTTATTTTTTTAATACTGCTTATTACTACTTATTTACTAGTGATGTTGTTGTTGTAATTGTATAGAAGTACGGCGCCATCGTCATCATGTGCGTCTCGTCACAAGAGCCAAATGCTGATGCCATATGCTCACCACAGCAAAGGACATCATCAGCAGCCCCACAGCAGCTCGTCGATCATCATAGGAGGGCAGCCAACCGAATGGCGACACTCATCCAGTACACTCATCGAGGAATGCGTCTCGTATTCAGCACACTATTTGGGCTCAATGGAAATATCAAACATCGAAGGAACTGAAGACTCGCGTAGAGCCATGATTAAACTCAAGGTGCTGCTTCTTGGTGCTATTGTTGTTGTCGTGGTTGTTGTTGTTGTTTGTTTTGATGGTTGCTTGGTTGATTTGTTAGTGATAATAGCAGCGAGAACAGCAGTGATAAAGTCATCTTATTATCAGTAATCAGTGATAAAGTGGCCTTATCATCAGTAATCAGTGATAAAGTGGCCTTATCATCAGTAATCAGTGATAAAGAATTGATTGGGTTTACGTTAATAGTAATGATAATGATAGTATTGCAGCAGTGGTTTTGACAGTGGCATGCCGGCGTGCATTGTATTATTTATTGTATTGTTAGTGTTATTGTGATTTTAAGAAAAAATTTTTAACTAGCTCAACGCTTGCAGAAGGGTATTCGTGAGATTGCAAAGGTGCCACAAGTGTTGTTAGAGATTTCGGTGGCCGGAGTTCGAGTGTTGGACGCGACAACGAAGGTATGCTTAGAGTTAGTTCAGTGATAACAATGCTAGTGATAACGGTAGTGATACTGATAATATCAGTGAACTTATCAGTAATGATGACAGACTTATGATAGCTGTGATAAGGGTAATGATAAGACTGATAATGAGTGTTTTCAGCAGCTAACAGTAGAGCACGATATAACTCGTATCCAAATCGTGTGTCAGGATGAGCGTGATTTGAACTGTTTTGCGTACATATCACAGGATGGTGACAAGCATTTTTGTCATGTCTTTTGCGTTCTCACCGCGGTTAGAAATTTTATTATTATTATTTATTATTATTATTATTATTATTATTGTTATTATTATTATTATTGCTAGAATGATTGTAACGTTGGATATTGCAGGATGTTGCCACCGAAATAATCATAACCTTGGGCCAGGCATTTGAGGTTTGCTACCGTTTGGCTAACGGCACGTACAGGTCGGATGGTGCTGATCCAATCGTCATCAACCCGCTTCTTTAATCCGGATTGTGCAACTTAATCTGCTGTCATAAGGAACACTTATTATTGTATACTGAATTTAATTTGTGGTTAATATTTAGAGCATTGGCTTATTATGCGTTGAAGAAATATTTTTGTGCTGTACCAATATAGCAATGCTCTGAATATATATTTGGTGTGTTCTTTTCAAAAATATTATTCATTTGAGCAGTGATTTTTTGTTTTGGTCTAATCGATCAACTGATCTGATCTGATCTGATCTGTATTGTATGCGTCGTACGCGAGCGAGCACAGTAAATGTACAGGCCAGCGGCGGCGTATATAAGTAGTGATCAATGAGCTCATTTATTCATTGTCGTGTGTTGTTTAGGTGGTGTTCGGTGGTGTGTTTGGTGTGTCTGTGTTAAGTATGGGTAATGTAGACTGGTGCACATTTTATATTGTTTGTTATCATTACTATTATTCTTGTTAGTAGTATTGTTATTTTTATTGTTATTATTGTTATTATTATTGTTACTATTATTATTATTACTATTATTATTATTGGTATTACCATATGTACTTATATTGATGCATATTCAAATTTTGTTGTGTATTCGTTTGTTAATTAATTTATTTCTATGTGGTTTTGAAGAGATAGTAGTATATTATAGTATAATAAGTTATATGATTGAGTCGATGTAATGTTATGGTTTATTGATGTGTTATTGTTGATTAGTGTGGCTGGTAAATTAATACGTGAATATATATATGTATGCATAGGTGTTAAGAAATCGGTTAAAATATTCGTGTATTTATTAATGCATTTAATGAGTTGTTGATGCATTGATTGTCGTTGAAATACAGTTAGAACGTGCCATTTATTGTTATTGTTTGTTTGGTGTTGTATTGTTTTGATTTGCTCGTAACTGAATGTTTCAGTTTGTTTTCGGATTGGATTGGCGAGCCAGGGAAGAGGGGTGGGTTTGTCTGAGATCATTATTATCATTATTATTTCGGGGATGGTGAGGTGGATGCATCTAGACGTGTATGATTTATTGACGAACGGACGGGTTAGACTCTGGCTTGTTAGAATCGATGGCATCGGAATAGAGAGCAGGCGACCAGTTGTTATTTTGGCCTCTTAGATGGCGGCGATGTATAGTTATTTTGGCCTCAGATTAGGCCTAAGAATCATTGGTTATCGGATGCTGTTAAGTATATCAATGTCGCATTTTATTGGCAACTTATTGATCAGCAGCAGGTAATGATTTATTTACTCTTATCGATAACTTTTATAGCGCATATTGAATTTGGTGTATGTATTTAGAACTGAAACTTGAAGCGATTAAAGTAATGTGAGATGAAGCCAGCCAGCCAGCTACGACGCATAAGTGTGAATGTATGAACGACGACTGGAAGGGATTCTTCGTTCCATAAGTGTATATTTATAGTCGGCGGACTAGATATCGGCCCGACATCGGCTAACATCCTATTGAATCTTGCCAATATCCATTGATCTAGAAGGGGACGACGATAAATTTTGTAGGAGATAGTGACAGACACCAACCATCAGGCTCTGTCTGATCCAATCATGGTGTGTGCAGCATCGTTTCTGTTAGAAGATGTTTTATTATTTTCTGTGCTTATCCTCAAACAAATACCTAGTACCCTGTATCATGAATCTGTCGTCTGTCCACCAGTCAATTGGATGATGATGATGATGATGATCAATCATCTAAACTGGCCTCAGCACTTGGGACAGCAGTTGATCATGCGTCGTGATCATTGCGCTCGTTCATTTGAAAATTCATATTTATCAAACCGATCGATCGATCTATTTATTGATTAATTTATTGATTTGTTCAATATTCGTCTGTTTGTTCGCTAATCACGAATTAATTATTATTGTCCAATTGAAGTGTGTTACATCCAAATCGCCACGCGTGCATCATTATAATGGCCAATGTTGACTATAATAGCGGATATTGAACGGTGATAATGATGACGATGATATGATATGATAAGATATGTACATATAATTGAACGTATCAATATAAATATACGATTGGATCAATTGGTTGCTACCATTCGGCTTGTGTACCAGCTAATCTAGCTGGGATAGTAGGCATTAAGTGCATTGGAAATCAACTGAAATGACCAATGGACAAAGTAAGCAGCATTTATAAATCATTTATAAATTTTTGTTTCTTTTCATTAAGTCATTAGTTGAGTAGACATCTAATTAATGAATTAAAGAAGTACACAATATATTATTGTGTAAATGTGTGATACAGCAGCGATTCGATTAATAGTAATAATGATAGTGATCATATACGTACGTGCGATGATCAATCACTAGGTTAATGATGATCAATCACTAAGTTATAAGTTTATCGATTTGATAGTTGATTTCGACAGACACCAACCAGATCGAAAGATATGTATAAGGTAAGAAAGGTGATCATCTGTATTTAAGTGAATAGATTTTCAATAATTGTTTATACGGAATGCATACTACTACTAACTATCTATCTATGTTCTTGAGTATGATCATTACGGTCATATAAAATCCAAAAATAAATGGTTTGTGTGATCAACAGTGATTCATTCATTTATTAATCATCATCAGCAGCAGCCGTTAATGAGAGTGCGATAGTCGCTTGTTGTTGTTGCATTTGTTGGGTGAAAATTATTTATTGATTGTGTTGGTGGTGGTTTAAGTCGGGTCGGGTCGGATCGGATTGGATCGGGACGGGACGGGACGGATAGTGGTTTGGAGCAGACAGAGAGTTAGGTGTTGCCTTCATTCGGTTGTTGACTAAGGACATTGAACCTGTTCGATATGCATGGCATATAAGATATAGATGTGTGTTGTGAAGAAATCTTTTAGAGCACCTTCTTCTCGTTGATTCGTAATCGTCGTCATCTCTTAAGATGTGATGTTCTGTCTGTCACAGGACAGGATAACGACCGACACACTACTGACAGACAGGTGCTGTTGCTGCTGGGTATATGTACCTGTTTGTACCTGTATTCATTATTGTTATCATTTAAGTGTGCTCTTTATTAGCTCTTATTGTTATTGTTGTTATGATTGCATTTATCTAAGTATTCAGGTTGGCTTTATGATGTGTCCAGGTTGGCCTTGTTATTATAAAGTGAGCAATTTTATAAGTGAAGAAGGATAAAAGTAAAAGAATAATTGTTGATTGAACTGATCAATTAAGTGCTTGATTCTATTCGTTGATTATGATAAGATTAAGATAATACTAGTGGAAATCATATTGAATGTTTAATGTGTTTGGAAAACGTTTATTGACTGCTCAAGATCAGATCATGACTGTGTGTATGTGATCATTTGAGTTTGAATCACATCGAATGAATGTATTTTTGCCGATTTGTTAGCGGCGGTGCCGTTTGATATTTGTCGAGTGCGTTCAGTTGATTTGATCTTGATCTAATTTACTAATAATATTTATTTTTGCTATTTATTGTTTGGTGGCTGGCTAGTTTTTGATCGTATTAATGAAACTAAGAGCAGTTTTATAATTGAAGAGTGTTTTATTATCGACAGCTTAACCATGCAGCCACCCACCAGCGTTTTATTTCTTCAGTTTGATACTTTATAATATGAAGTAAGTAAGTGTAGAATAGAATGAATTTATTTATGTAATATGATAACAGTAGTGATATTTAGTAGTGATTATGATAACAGTAACAAGTAATGATAATTTAATATTTAGGTACGTTCTTATTCTTCTGCTTCATAAACTACTCTTGATGCATCTGTAATAGGCTGATGATTAACTGCTGCTGCCGCTGCTGATATATAATTGGTTTGGTTTGGTTATAGCTCTCATAATGGTTATGGTCATCAGTGTTCTCATGGTTATCGGAGACTGATCTGCTCTGATCTGATCTGATCTGATGCTCGATCGATCACCTTTCATATTTCATATTTATCTGAATCAAACAACAACAACAGAAACATTTGAATGAAACACTAGCAAGTGCGCCAGAACAATGTGCTATTACTATTCATCAAGTGGTCGGCACAGTTTACGACGAATAATTTCAGTTGTTTTTATTGTATTATCGGCACTGGATAACGTCTCTAATGAGCAAAGTGTCAAAGATCAAGAAGGATTAGTGGAATGTCACCAGTGTTTTACACACTGTAAAACGCTTGCGAGTAATCGTTTTGATACGAGTAATTGTGAGTGTGGTGATGATGGTGATATGACGAGGAGTGGAGATTATAGTGGTGATATTAATGTTTTGTTGAGTAATAATAACGATGCTCATCGTATTCGTGGTGGTGGTGCAGAAGCTGCTGCTGCTGCTGCGGCGCAATCCGTATCCAAAAATAAATGCCTAGCGAAAGCATGTTTTGCAAAAATTGAGATATTTACACATGAGAAAACGGCTATTTTACAGGTAAAAATCAGCTAAATTTAGTTATTAATTGAAGTTTTTATCATTTAAATGGATGCAGTTTTTAAAATGATGACAATTGAATCACAACTACTGTTGAATGGTTCTTTCACTTATGCTTAAAATTAGCAGATTTTAGCCGCCAGGTAGGTAGGTAGGTAGGTAGGTGCCGATGTGGATAGAGTGCCTCCTCGAAAAAATGACTACGAGACGAATCAACTATAAGAATAATAGTGAAGATTTTTTAGATTTAGATCACAAAAATTAGATTTTGAAAAAAATCAAAAATCAAAAAAAAATTAGATTTTTAGATTTTAGATCGCAAAATTTTCTAAGGAACAAATAAATAGTTTTTGGTTGTTATTGCTCTCATCGTCGTAATTGCTCTCATATCAGTCATTTATGTGTCTGATCTATTTAGAAGGGCTGTATCAACGAATTACCAGGTGCTTATGCTGGTTGTCAATATGTGGGACAGTCCGAATCAATACACTGTTATTGTAACGATAGTAATTTTTGTAATACACGACAAAAGGTAATACGTTGAAGAATATTTGTAATTGATCACTGATTTATTGATTGATTGATAACTGATCATGATCATAATTGATAATAATAATAATAATAATTTTATAAATTTATCAGTCATACCAGAAAAGAATTTTAGTTGGATAATTATAATCCACGGCCAATGCCTGTGG